GCGCTGCTCAACAACCTCCAGGTCAAAATTGCCCACAGGTTAAGCCCAGTGAGGTTGCAAGCCATTTTCTGGGGGTAGCAAAGGTCCCACTGGAGAAGCAATTCAAAAGCAAAGTATGTAACAAATGGTGCCTACTCTGATATCAGAATGTGGGGTAAGAGTCAACCAGAGCCATTTATGGTCGACGAACTAGAGAGGGCCCTTAATTCCATCAAGACAGGCACAGCAGTGGGCTATGATAACACCTTGCTGGAATTCCTCAAACACCTTGGACCAAAGGCATCACAATGGCTTACTTAATTCTATATACGGGTCATTAATGAGAAGAAATTACCATGCACTTGGCACGAAGCAAAGATTATTGCCATTCTTAAGCCAGGCAAGGACCCCTACAATGTGTCATGTTACCATACCATATCCTTGCTGTCAGTGTTTTTCAAGGTGTTTGAGAGTCTGATCCTCCAACGAATCACTCCAGATTTGGATGTCTTCTTGCAGGTCAAGCAGGCAGGGTTCAGGAAAGGACGCAGGACCTATGATCAAGTCCTGGCCTTGAGCACCTTTATCGAAAATGGTTTTCAACCAAATCTAAAGACGGGAGCAATCTTCTTGGATCTGACTGCCACCTATGACACAGTTTGGCACAGAAGCCTTTTGTTTAAACTCTCCCAAGTTGCCCTGCGTTGGGTGGTCAAGGTAGTAGAGCTCTTCTCCAAAAGAGGAGGTTTAGAATACACATCGGCAACTGCTGCAGCTCTTGGAAGCATCAGATCAACAGCCTTCCTCAAGGTTCAGTTCTTTCACTGATACTGTTCAATGTGCACATCAACGACCTGCCAGCTACATTCTTGTGCAAGTTTATCTATACCAATGATATCTGCTGCAGCTACCAAACTCAGTCTCTCTCAGAAATTGACAAGATCTTGAATGATGATACGAAACTCATGGCAAACTCTCTTAGTCGATGGTGGTCGCAGCCAAGCTTTTCCAAATACACAGTTTCTAGTGTATTTCATCTGCATAATGCAAGCGCAACACACGAGTTAAATATTTTTCTCAACGGCCAATGCCTGCGGCATGATCCAAACCCAGTTTACTTCGGTGTGACATTGAATAGGTCATTAACGTACCACAACCACTTGAGGAAGACTGCAGCCAAAGTCAGCATTTGGAACAACCTCCTCAGAAAATTGGCCGGTTCAACCCGGAGTGCGAGCACTCGGATTCTTAAAACATCAGACCTTGCCCTCTGCTATTCAACAGCAGAGTACTGTGCTCCTGTTTGGTGTCGCTCATCTCACACGAGGCTGGACGATGTAGAGCTTAACAAAGCTACGCGTATTGTTACCAGGACTTTATGGGCAACTCCGTTGCCGTGACTACCGATACTTAACAACATAGCACCACCACAAATTCGCCGTGAGAAGGCATCTGTCAGGCTGCTGGCCAAGATCCATGAGAACAGCAACCTGCCTTTGTACACAGACCCTTCAACCACCTGCCAGCTCACCTGTCTTCTAGACGCCCTTTATGGTCATTTGTGCCACCACAGGATATGACGGTGGAATCTACTTGGCGCAACAAGAGGACAGTGACAACAGTTGTTAATCACTCTCTCATCACTGACCCAACCATCTGTCCACCAGGTTTTGATCTGCCGAGACATCTGGAGGTCATCTCTGACCCCGTTTCAAATAGGACAGGGCACCTGTGTGGCCAATCTCTTTAAATGGGGTTCTTCTAATAACCTGCAATACAGCTGCGGTCAACTTCAGACTATTTCACATATCCTTGACAAGAGCCCACTGTATGCTCGGGGTTCTACTGATCGCCATATTTGGGGTCGGGAAGGAATTTTCCTCCAGGGTAGATTGGCAGAGGCCCTGGAGGTTTTTCGCCTTCCTCCGCAGCATTGGGCAGGGGTCGCAAGCTGGAGGATTCTCTGTGACTTGAAGTCTTTAAATCACGATCTGGAGACTTCAACAGCTGAGTTAATGGAAAGTGGGTGGGTCAGCTTTTGTGGCCTGCAACATGCGGGAGGTCAGACTAGATGACCATAATGGTCCCTTCTGACCTTTAAGTCTATGAGTCTATGAGACTTATTTTGACAGCGGGTTACCGGCTCTCCACCTGGCTGATGATGATGCAATCAAATGGCTGGGCACATTGTGTGCATACACGGATATATCACTTTATAAATTGCCCTGTTCTGTTCATTCCCTCTGAAGCATCTGGTACCGGTCACTGGTCTGACTCAGTATGGCCATTTTTAGGTTTATATTCTTATGATATGCTACAGTCCAACTATGTAGTGCTCCATTTTTGATCCAAGTAATGGAACCACTCACGGTGGGACTTTTCAGCTCCAGTGGTTGCATTTCCACAGTAAAGATGTGAATGGCAACAAATTGCTCCCAGTTATAACAAATTAGGTGTGGTACTCACTCTCCCTGCAAGTTGCATATGTAGCTCTTGACAAGGTGTGGGTGAGGCTGGTGTATAAATCTCATAATTCACAACAAGCTTCTTCTCAAAAATGTTTGTCACATAACTCAAAACATTTAATGTCTCAGTGCCTTTACATTCTACATGGCCTATGGGGATGAGAAACAAGAACAAAGAGACATGAGATTTGTTAACAAAACAATGAGTTCCAACAGATTCATGTGAAAAATGTCTTTGTACTAAGTGGTTTATGTAAGTACTGGTCAGACCTTCATGCAAGAAGTGACACGAATAAATCTGGCAATGGTCAGAATAAGTGCTTTCAGTAATTCTGTAAAGTCAGCCTTAAACAATCTACCCTGTAAGGATTTAAATTTACAAATTCCATTTGAATCCTAAAATCTTTACTCTTGGTACAACAAGCCAGGCTAATATCTGTGCACAGTTGCTGTGACGGTAGAAAACACTTGCAAAAAGAGATTAGCCTCTCTTATTTTAATTTGTTGGCCATGAAGAAAAGATCAAACTCCTGCTTCTCCTTCTCTTCAAGCACAGTCAAACTCCTCTCTCTCCTGTACTCTGCATAGTATTATTTAAAGGAAACAAGTACCAGTTCTCTTTAATGAAATATCAGGAAATTAAAAACAAAAAAACAAGCATCCAGCTACATTACCACTGAGAGAAAGTACTGTCACATCTCTCTACCTATTGTGTTTGACCCCTCAATACTAACCAGCCAGTCAGCAAAGAGCATTAAAAAAATACATAGTAGAAGTATTATTTCAGGAACTCTGTACTATCATCAGACTATAACACTGAGTGCTTCAGCTCCCAACACAATAGATGGATTCCTACTTTGAAATCCCCTTCCCAAGTCCTGCATTAGTGGACACATGTTTTGCTTCTTTGTCCGATTCAAGCCAACCAGCCTATTCACAGAGTTCAAGGGCTTTAAAATGGCAACAATCCAGTTCAGGGAGAGAACAAGAGAAAAATGCAGATTTATTTCTATATTTTAATCTTTTGTTAAATCAATTTGTTATGTAGTTTATAACTTTAAAACAGGACCCTTCATTTTATCCTATTCCAAATATATGAGTTATGCAGATTAAAACTGGTCCCTGGGATTTACTGTGTCTTTTATACATTTAAAAAAAAGGCATTTTAGGATAGATATACAAAAGCTATTGAACATTCAAGGTCAAGCCATTTGAACAAAGTAAGTCTTTCCTGAGTCATACTGACACTGCTCTTTATCCCATCCAAAAAACCGAAACTGTGTATTGTGCTACAATAACTGTTCTACTGTATTGTTTGACTACTTCATGTTGATTTTCATAATAAAACTAGGAAAGAGAAAAGCATAAAATGCCAAAACACTTCTAAGGTTTAATAAAAGGGAATTATTTTACTATGGGTACAACCTTTAATTATGCAATTTAAAATAAATTCAAGTACCAATTATATCTCTCTCTCCAATTCCACTCAGGATTTAAAACCACCAGAATGTTAAAATAACACACTTTTGTTCACATCTGATTTGCTTGTGTGTGATCTTTGAAGCTTTTAAAAAATATATGAAAGCCTATTGGGATTTTTAATACAAGATCCTGGTTTTACTACTTGTTTTCACCCAACTCTCAAGCATGAAAAAATAACCACCACCTTTTTGATTTACGGACGAAGATCATGATTATTTCTGCAGCATTACAAGGCATTTCAAAATGTGTTTCCCTAAAGAGCCTCACTAATAATACTTTTTAAACCCTCATCCCCGTCCCTGTTTTTGACAGGGAAATTTCAGAGAAGGGAAAACGGGTTTCTTTTGTAAGGCACTAAGGACAGTAGGGGTCTGACTCATGCCTACTACATCTGCTCCCATCCATGCACCGCTCCCTGCCGGGCCCCTTCAGCTCTTCTTTGATTCTGGGGGATGACACCCCCCTTCACAAATCCCAAAGCGTTGCATTCACTCCCGCACCCCCATGACTCTGCAAGCGCCCCTAGGATGGGATCGGGGGGGGGGAGGGTAGAAGATATACACTCTGAGGCAGCATGAAGAGGGGGTGAGACAGAGATCGAGGGCACGGGACGGTCTCGGCAACGGGGCCAACCACGGACCCACGGTACCTAACTAGGACCAAGGGCAGCAAGGGGCGATGGGGGGGGGGGGGGCTGAAGTGGGGTTTGGGGCAGGAGGGGGGAAGGGAATAAAGGAGGGGCCAGGGAGCAGGAGGAGGGAGGACATGGGCCCGGGGGCGCTCCGCCGCGGACCCGGTGGGTACCGGGGGGCGGCTCGGCCGCAGAGCGGGGAAGGACGCGGGCCGGGGGCTCGGCCGCACAATGGAGCCCGGTGTGTCGATCTGCCTCGCTCCCCCCTCACACGCCGCCTTCGCGTGACTCGCAGGAGCGAAATGGCTTGTGGGTGAAGCCGGCTCCCCGCCCCGGGCCGCCCGCCGGGCTCGGGCTCCGGCCCCGCGCCGGGGTGGGCAGGGGCGCAGCGCCGCGGCAGGCGCGGCCGGGGGAGGGGCCGGAGCCCGGCGCGGCCCGCTCACCATTTGCGCACTTTCTCGATGGCCGCCATCACCCGCTTGATGTCATCCTTGGCCCGGCTGCGGGTCTCGGCCCGCACCGACCGGCCCGACATGCTGCTGGGGACGGGGGGGGGCGGCGGCTGCGGAGAATGCGGAGCTCGGCCCGGCCCGGCTGGCTGCGCCGCACGCACAATGCTCCGTCCCGCCGCTCGGCTCCGCCCAGACTCAGCCGCCCGCCGCCGGGGCTCGCGCACTGCGCAAGCGCCCAGAGCCGCCGCCGCCGGGCGCAGCACGCGGCTGCCTGGGCTCATGGGGCGCGGGCGGGGCTGGCGCGCGGGCGGGGGTCCCCCCCCAGTCAGTGCCCCGGTCACGGGACCTCAAAGAGCTTCAGGGCGCGAAGGGGGGGGGGTCAGGCCTTGGTCCTGGTTCCGGATGGGACACACAGTGGCTACAGCAGGGGGCTGGGAGCCAGGACTCCTGGGTCCTGTAACTAGGGTGACCAGATGTCCCGATTTTATAGGGACAGTCCCGATTTTTGGGTCTTTTTCTTATATAGGCTCCTATTACCCCCCCACCCCCTGTCCCGATTTTTCACACTTGCTGTCTGGTCACCCTACCTGTAACCAGCCCTGGGGGGAAGTGTCGGGGTCTAATCATTAGAGGAGATGGGATTGGGTTTTGTTACCAATTGTGCCTGGACTCACTGTGGGATCTCACCTTGGGCAAGTCACTTAACACCTCTGCGCTTCAGTACCCCCCCCTTCCCATCTACCATATAGGGGTGTTGGGAAGCTGAATGAATTTATGTTTATAAAAAGTTTTGAGACTCTCAGATGGGGAGAGGCTATGGAAAGGCAAAATACTGTGGCTTCACTCCTCTTCCCCCAGTGGGCAACAAAGTTGTGGAAATAAATTGCAGGACTGTAAAGGCTACTTTTAGGAATTATTTGTTTATATAGTGTTGTCAATACTTCTGTGATATAAATATGCAAATATATGCCCAAACGACACAACCCCAGCCTTTAGAAAGCGTGATGATAAGCTCTAGAAATAATTGATTCTCAAAACGATTCTGAGAAGTTTAAGATATTTTTACTGTAGGGAAAGTGAGGCAGAGGGGTAATTTTCTAAAAGAGGGTGTTAATGTCAGAGCTGGATTTAGAAATAAGACTGCCAGCCTCTACGCACTGAACCGCTCTTCTCGCTGAAAATCTAAAGAATCATCATGTGATGTATTGCTTTGTGTATGTCTGAGCCTTATTGTCTGTGTCCAAATTAGATTGTAAGCCCCAAGGGCAGGGATCACATCTTTGTATAAGCAGGTATTTGTGTAGCACAGAGTACACAGAGGGTGCTCAATCAGTAATAACATTAGATCCATTTGTTCCTAAACTTTGTGTTCATTACACTAAATACTTGTTATCTTTGAGACTCCTATAGTGCATTCTCTTATGGATGATAGACTGTTTGAGTGACTAGTTTCTGATTTAGCCCTTGTGCAAACAGTTATGGCACTATGTTGCAGACTTGTGGTTTGCTGTTTAGTGATATTTCTTTTTCAACAACATATGATTTATAAAACAATAGGAAAAGGATATTTAACAATCCAGTTCATCGGGCATCACATACACATTTTTGTGTGAGGAGGGATAGCTCAGTGGTTTGAGCATTGGCCTGCTAAACCCAGTGTTGTGAGTTCAGTCCTTGAGGGGGCCACTTAAGGATCTGGGGCAAAAATCAGTACTTGGTCCTGCTAGTGAAGGCAGGGGCTGGACTCTATGACCTTTCGAGGTCCCTTCCAGCTCTATGAGATAGGCAGCGAGTGAGCCAGATCCTCAGCTGTGTAACTCAATGTATCTCTAATGACTTCAGTGGAGTTCTGCTGATTTATGGTATCTGAGGATCTGACCTAACACATGTACGTGTGTGTACATATATGTAAAAAAAACTGGTTGGAGAGCAGGTCATATGAAGCAACACCTCTTCAGGAATTCTTTGTCACACACCCTATAATACTTTGATTTGTGTTGTTTGACCTTTATCTCTTCACTGCCATGCAACTAGCTATACATCTTGCTATGTGTACTAACACAACTATAATTATTTCTGTGATGTAGAATAGTAATCTCCATGCAATAAACATCACCACTGAATGGAACACTTTTTAAGGGGCTACATGATTATGCAAAGACCCATTGATGCTGAGGGGCACTGTAAAAAAGGAAATGAGTTCAACAACTCACTGATCTTTCTACAGCAACTTGCATTGGCACCATTACACTATTTATACAAACACTGAGTAAGACACTCTCCCATGGGCATTACTCTACTAATTGGAATTAACACTCCCAAAAAGAAATACAAAGTTGTGAGGAGCAAAATGGAAGCCCAATTTTTAATCCATCACAAAATAGAATGCTCCCTTCACTAAGATTCATCCTGTGGTATATTCAGATATAGTACTTAATTTAAATTGCTATTTTACTGTAAAGTTTTTGTGAATAAACTTTTCCTGTAATATGCTAAAACTGGACTATATTAGTGCAGCTTTGCATTACACCATTAGTGTAAACCTGCCCTAAAGCTAATGTTACCAGTCACTGGAGGATTCCTCCCAGGACAGGGGATTGTGGATGGCATAGAGCTACTGTACCGGGTCATATTTCACTCTTTTCCCTGCATCCTTATGCCATGGTGATTCCTGATTGTCCTAATGGCCCACTGGACCATTAGATGGATTTAGAGCAAAACCATAATGTTGCACTCTGAAGAGACCTCTTCAGGGCAGCATTTGTGATTGATACCATGATGTCAGTCTTAGCAGCAAGTTTACTTAACCCAATCCTGTGTTTCGTGCATTCATTTTGGAGGTCATTGATCAGCAATACATGGTGTCCCTAGGGACAGAGTAAGCTGCTTCCTCTTGATCTCCAAACTCAGAACTCCCCCATGGTAGCACTGCTTCTTGACTATTGGCCCAGACTTTGTGAAGTGTTTAATCCTATAGCTTTATGACACACTGTAAATTGACGGAACATCATAGAGTTTGAGGTATGTTTAGTTTACTTTATCTTTATTTTATAATAAATACAAAAATATAGTTTCCCAGGGGTTTGAGGAGAAAAGATGATTACAGAAAATGCATTTCTGGGTAGAAAACTACAAACTCTGTGGCAATTATGACTCTGCTGACTCTATGCTACTTGTGAGTTCATAATTTTTTTCTGTCTCAGTTTCATCTGGTTCAGAAGTAGGTAAGCCAAGAATATCAGCAGTAAATATCTCTGCTGTGATTTCCTCAGGAATTTCTTCTTCCATCAAAGCTGCTGCACCTGGAGGGGGAAAAAACAACAACAACCCCCAAAGCAATCAGGTTTCCAGATCAATAGGACTTGTCAGCAGCAGTGTGTTGAATGGAATGTCTATAAAAATACATGAAAGGGGCCTTATATAGTATCAGTTTAATACTTAATACGTCACCTGTCACGGAACAAAGGCACTGATCCTGTGAGGTACAGCACACCTTCAACTCCCACCGAGAACTAGATCTAAACTAAATGATCTATAGCACTATACTTGTCCATTCCATCTCTGACTCCTCTAATCCTGCATGGCTTTTTTTCCTATTACGTATCCATGATTTTCTTGAAGATGGTTACAAAGCCATCTTGAGCATGCTGCATTTTGAATACTGTTATTCAGATATCTGCAGACTCTACTCAGTTGCTTTAATAACAATATTCATTTTCTGTTTCAAGTAATTTAGGCATAAAAGAACATATTTAGGCCCAGATCCTTATGAAAAATGACTTGGGACCTTTAACATCTATGCAGAATGGACTGGTCCTTGGTTAGTAAGATCTCATCTGTAAGACCCGCACCCAGTAAACTGCACAGCACTCATTGTATCTACTTCGGAAGGACAAAGTGCTGTTTCTATCCTGCTGTGATTTGATTTGAATCTAGGGTTCCAAGGAATCCAGGTATTTCAAACCTGGTGTTTACACCACTAAGCTGTTCCCTCCAGGAGATGCACCTTCAGTAGGCATACATCAGTTGTGGAAAATCCCAACTGGATGTTATTGTAGACACTTAGGGATTGGGACACTCGTTTCAGAAACTACATGAATATGGCAGAAGTCAGGAGTTCCAATTACAAGGGACTTCTCTGCAAGGAACTGAAAAGAATTTGCATATTATAAGATTCTGCTTTGCCTGTGGATCACAACAGTGGGTGAGCCCTCCAGCAAATATCTCCAGTTTCCATTCCTAGACAGCAGATAAACAGTAATGTAATGTAGTCAAGGACATTGTTACGTTTCACTGGCCATTTAAATATATATGAGTTTCAGTCTGCAGTAGAACTTTTCTCCAAGATCAGTGGAAGTTAAGTGCATGGACCAAGGACAGTATTTGGCCCTGTGACTATATTTTGCAATCCCAGCTGAACATTTGTAACAGCTATTGGAGTAACAAGGTTAATAGGATTTGCAGTTTAATTATTATGTTAAAGGAATTGAAGCAATCTTATTTCTGTGTTTCATAGAACATTAATCCTGTACCTGAGGGATCATAGATGCCCAGCTCAGATCTCCCACCCTCTGGATTCATGCCCAACAGGGTGGTAAGACACTCTGCCAGCTCCTCCTCTGTCATATGCTCCCCTACACACACAAAGCAAAAACACAATCTCTAAGCTCTCTCATTAACACAAACTCAGCACAAACATATCTAGCAAGAATGGCATAAGGACAAAATAGGATGGTTTGGGTTCCTCCAGGGGGTAGCTAGTACCACCATTCAGAATGCATGATCACAGTGCAAGAAATTTGATCCAAGAGAAATTTGTTCTTGTGAACGACATGAGTTTTTGGCATATAAATTAGGTTTCTGGGAGGGGGAAAGGCTACTGGATCTGACTTGTTGGGCCCAGTTGCACCTACAGCAGTTTTCACTCTTCCTTTTCATAGGAATTCCCAGCGCAGATCAGTGGTCTACTGGCAGTAGCCAGCGCCACAGCAATTCAGAGGAAGGTGCAAGAAAACATTTAGTCAACTATTACAGAATAGCCTGCACATAGGAGTTTATTCCTAACCTCCATCAGTCAGTGGTTTATGCCCTGAAGCATGAGGATTTATATCCCTTTTTAAAAATGTTTTATCCTATGTCATGTATCTGTGGATGTTCTCATCATCCATATGTGTGTCTAATC